TTATCTTATCTTATGTAATTGAGTTTTATCTTTCCTGGCAGACTGCGTCAACTTATGACATACCAAACAACATATGACACTTACAAAAAACACTACATATAAAATAAACATCCCTTAAGGAAGTGTGGATGGTCCTGTGATTAGCCCTTTTTCACAGAGCCTCCAAATAGATCCTATTCGGGATCAATATTTTGATGCTGAACCGCCCCCTTCGGGGAGTATTTTTAGTCACATTATATTGCCTTTAGTCATAGAAAGTTTTCAAATAAACAATCCTGGTTATCCAGCTAACATACGGCATCACAAAGAGAGAGAGGAGAAAAAAAAAACCCTATGAACCTAATTTATTATCATTATAAATTATAATTTCTGGACCATAATCCATTTCTCTCATCAAAAAATCAGATCTTTATATATACTCTATTTATAATCATTTGTCCTTCTTGAGGTCTCTATCATCCACTTTCCTTTCTATCTGTGACCAATATCAATATCTGTGAACCAATATCATTATCTTGTGATCATTATTACTTGTGTGTTAATTTATCTAAAAAAAAAGAAAAAGAAAAAAAAAAAAGGATTTATCAATTCGTGCATCCTTCACTTATATTCTCTGCAGATTGTGAGCATAAAAATCATTAATCACACTAGTGAGTATCTATTCCCCTTGCTTGCCTTTAGCTATTACCCTTTCTCCCCTTTCTTCCCTTTCTTCCCTTTCCCTTTGCTATTTGAATGTATTCTTATTTCCTATTTCTTTTAAGTGCTCCAAACTTTATAAATATTAAATAACCTCATTTAGATGAATTTTCCAACTCCCATTTTAAATACGCATACTTATTATAATACATCTATATTTCATTTGTTCCTTCTATAAATCATTATCCCTCCTAATTCCATTAGTGATTTTTAACATATAAAGTGTCCGATGTGAGTATCATTACAAGTATCTATCACCTGAAGGATTTCCAATTTATATTTTTAGTGATAAGGTAAAGGTAATGTCCTTCTTTTTTCGTCTTCTCATCTTTTTCCTTATAATATTATACCTTCTAAAGATGTCTTCTAAGTCGACAAAAAAAAAAAAAAGGAATATCCTTTATATTGTATTATTTATCTTCTCTCCTTCATCCTTTATCTCCCTCCGTTGAATTAGTCTGATCGAAGTTCTGCTGTCTAAACCATTTTGAAATTGCCATAACATCTGAAAAAGAGTATGTCCTTGCTTCATAAGAAATTATTAATTTGCAGGAATACCTCCAGGAGTATCGAATATTCTTCTGACGTAGAATCTTTGTTTATAATGCAAACGGTTTTCTTTTAGCCCTAGTATAATATGAAATATCCGGAAAAATTATGATATTAGTGTATGGATCATTCAGTTTAATGAGTTTAGCTGCTTTTAAGGCTTGTTCTTTCATTTTATATGTCGAGCAGCAGATCATTACGTCTCTAGGCTCGCCTTGCGCCACAAAATCTGGTTTCATAATTCTATGGCATCTTTCCAGAGAATTCAATGGATTTGTCATTTGAATGCCTAATTGCACTAAGAGCTCCGTTATATGGTCTTGCAGTATATCATTATTAACAGATTCTGGAATACCGCGGATTCTTAAATTATTACGTCGAGACCTATCTTCAAGATCTGCAATTTTGAGTTCCAATTCAGCTATTTTTTGATTTGCTTTTCTCATATTGTCATCTGCAGAGACTTGCTGGAATTCCAGAGCTTCTAATTTTTCTTCATTTTGCTTAAATTTTTTTTCCAGCTGTATTAACTCCGTTTTAAATTCCATAAGACCTTCATGGATCCCATTCTTAATCTTGTCTAATTGTCGTTCAAAGCAGGACTCAAGATAGCTATGTAATTCTTTGGAGCTATAATCTTTAGAGGTCAGTTTCCTTTTTGGTAGACTCTTTGGTGACAGATTCTCAGATTCTTTGGGTGATTGAGATGAAGAGTCCGAAACATTCTGATGGTCTATTTCCTGTTTCTGTGTTAGCAACGGCGCTGAAAAGGAGAGCCTCCTATCAGTCTTGCCTTCTTGTTTCTTTTCTCTGTCTCTCTTGGTAAGCTGTTTGTTATCTTGGCCTTTCCTTGATGCCATGGCAAAAAAAAAAATATATATATATATATATATATATATATCTCGCTCCTTTTTTTTATCCTTTTTGATCCAGGTTCACTTAATTGCACTGAGAAACGTTATGCAGCTTGGTGTCTCCCTAAGTCCAGAGAGCAGAGGAAGTGCTTCTTATTTTGAACAATTATCTTGAACAGTTTATTTATTAATATGTTTTGAGACCTTCAGAGACCTTCAGAGTGCTACTCAGCTGTTTAGATATCATAGGTTATAGGTCTTATAGGTCTTAAAATCTCTAAAGAACCTTTTATACAGCTCAAGTTCTCATGCAAGACCCCCCATTTTTTGCAGTACTTCTGTACCCTCTATTTCATGCCCCTGTCTCACAGGACTCACTTGTCTGCCGGTTGTAATTAGGGGAAGCCAGTCCATCCAGTCTTCCTCGCACTGGGCGTCCTCAGTATCCGCCACTCCAACTCTAGTGCTTACTCGAGTGCTTGTTAGACTCCGTGCCTCTGTCCTCTGACATGCCTGCACCTTCCTACGGCTGTGTGCAAAAAAATCCGTCGCTGCTTCACTCCCCTAGGGCGTCAGCATCTTCATGAGGAGGACGTGCACTCCCGTACAGCGCTTCCGTCCTACGTCATCGCTCCTCCCCCCGACCCTTGGTGAATCTTTTGCCAGCCCTCTAGGCTCAAGTGCGCGATGGGCTCTGTCCATTTCTATTGGAGACTCCGGTGAGCATTGTAGGATGTTATTAAAGACCTTAAAGACAACCCGTAGGGTTTGAAAGAGATCTTCTTGTGGCTCAGAGGTTTCGGAGAGGCCTCTTATGCGGAGGTTGTTTCTCCGGCCTCTGTTATCCAAATCTTCATAATCCCGGTGATTCTCTCATCTGTAGTGATTTGTCTTTGCTAAATATTATGAACGCTGGTTTGTAGATGGTCTCTCTCCTCTTCCAGGTCACTGACCCTGTGTCCGACCTGTCTGATATCGGAGGACAGGGAGGTAATTTGGTCTTGGACCGAGGTTTCTAATTTCGTCAGCATCGCTGCTATATCCACTTTGGAGGGTAAGTTCCTAAGCATTGTGTGAATCTCCACATCTCTGTCACATGACACCTGTGTGTTGTCTTCATTCTCCAGTGATAATAGTTTTGTTTTGTCTCAAAAATATTTATGCAGTTCTCCAGATTGTTTGCTAGGAGTTGGATCTGGAAATTCTGGTGAGGTTTTGGTCCATTTTGTGTTGCTCATTTTCACATGTAGAAGGCTGAAAAGCTGCTTTTAGTGGCAGCTCGAGCAAAACACGGCTGTTCATGTCGTAATGGTAGCATTTTGTGTGGAACAGTATCAAATGCCTTAGCAAAATCTAAATAGATCATATCCACTTGAACACCGAGCTCTATAATAACTTCCTTTATTTCTAAGTTATTTATAGAAGACCATTAAGTTAATTTGGAATGGTCTGTCTTTCATAAAACCATGTTGATTCCTGATAGTGATATTGCTGTTCAAAATAAAATATAGGGTGTAATTCCTTAACAGCCCATCAA